GCTTATTGGTGTCCTATTTATTGTGCTTAGTAACCCTTGTAATGTGATCTCCTGCACCCCAATCTCCCTCAGCTTATTCTTCATTGCCTGTCTCTGTGCTTCATATCTCATACAAGTCATAATTATGTGCTCCACTGACTCCTCTTCTCGACATCCCTCACACAATCCTGTCTGGTGCTTCCCTGTCATCTTTAGTGTTTTATTCAATGAACAATGTCCCAACCTTAACCTTGTCATCACTGCATCTTCTCTCCCACTTCCCATTCCCACCCTATCCTCTTTAACATTTCTTTGAATTTGGTATAAAGTGCCTCCCTTTCTCCTCTCTATCCCACCTTTTATTGATTTTCTCCCATATTATGCCAGGGCTCTACGCTTATTTTTTCTTTTTAGGAGCGCTTGTGCTCCTAACTTCAAAAATGTAGGAGCAGTCAAAAATTTAGGAGCACCAAAATTTGATAAAAAAATTGCCTTCCCATTACGAGGTGATATTTGACTCCTTAAAGTGATTTACAGTAGAATTTTGTTTTTACCTTTGTAATGGCATTTTTCTATCTTTATTAAAAGTAGTCGCAAATGCGACTGAAATGGTCGCACTGTAGAGCCCTGATTTAACCTCTGCTTTACTTATAGTACATTGACCTGCATCTCTACGTTCTACAGCCTATCCGCCATCTCATTACCCCTAATCCCAACATGTGCTGGGACCCACATAAATCTTACCTGACAACCCTTATTAACTATTCTTGTGTTTCTTGTGTAATTGCAGCACTTCATACAGGATATCTTGCCGAGTTTTTGAATTAAATGACCTTAAACTAGCTAAAACTGATAAAGAGTCAGAACATATCAAAACCTTTTGCTGCCCTACCTTTTCCACCCATTGCAAAGCAATTTAATATTGCCATCATCTCTACTGTATATACCCCTAGCTTATTAGATGTTCTTTTATTAATTTCTATTTCTTTTCCCGGAATTGCCACCCCAAACCCTGTTTCTTCTGTCTGTTTTTTTTTGTTTTTAGCACCATCTGTATAAATCCACTATAGTTTCCTCCTATTCGATTGCTAAATACACTCTTCAAATGAATTTCTTCCTTTGCTTTCCTTTTTTTCCTCGAGCACAAACCAGTCTACCTCAGGCCATGTGATCTTCCAAGGGGCAATCTCTGGAAAAACTACCGTAGGGCTTAGCAAGTGCTCTGGCTCTGATGTTTGTCTTTTCTCTCAACCAACTTGTTCAGGTGCATACCGCCACCTACTGTACCGGGGTGTACCGGGCAACTTCAGGGCTTCATGTACTTCACATAGTTATAATTATAAAAAAAAACAAACAAAAAAAACCCACACACACTAAACACACCTATATACTGTGCTGTAACCCTGTATCTTTAAGAAAATTAAAGAGAGCCTTACTACATTCCCACATTTGAACTCTGACCCTCTGACGGACTCTCCCACTCCCCCCCTCCCAAATACACACACACACTGTCACTTTAATCAGTCTGAATAAGCTCTTTTGCACTACTAATCATTATATCTGCACTGTTGTTTACTTCACTGGTTTGCGCTCTATCTACCACGTGCCTTGTGCTGCTTTATATATATTTTTTTAAATTTTACCTGATTTGTATAGTTGTATTTTGTATTTTATATTTAATCTGTATCTATCTGTATTTATGTTCTACTGTTAGTGTTATCTGTATGCACCAAGGGTCTGAGAGTAATGCAATCTCAATTCTCTGTGTATGTGCTGTACATGTGGAAGAATTGACAATAAAGCAGACTTGACTTGACTTGACATTTTCTCCTCTTGTCTTCTTCTCTGATCCCTTCAGTCTGATAAACCTGCTCTCTGCTGCATCCTGCTGGACTGGAGGAGATCTTCTTCTTCGTTGGGGTTTTACGGCAGCTGGCATCCAATTTGTTGCATTACTGCCACCTACTGTACTAAATTCCCTTTACACTCTATTCTCTTGTCCAGTCCAGTTTCTTTTAAAGAAACCTAATAAATATTTCCTGCCTTTTTGTTTCTCTGCACATTCCAAAATACTTTTAACATTTGCCTCTACTCGTCCTAAACTCTGTAGCTGGGTCATCTTTTATTGTCTTTCTTGAGTAAATTTCCCGCAAGATATTAGAACACGCTCAACCGTCTCATACTCCTGACACTGGCTGCACATTCCTGTTGGGTGTTTTCCCTTAATATGAAGAGAGCCATTAGGGTTGCTATGCCCCATTCTTATTCTGCTTAGAATGAACTTGTTCTTTCCTACTCATACCATTATCTCTTGATACACCCACTCTGTTTTGTATAGAATATAAATGCCTCCCCTTTGTTTCTTCATGCCACTGCTGCTGCCATTTGTCCATTGTTTCATTCCACACTATGCTCTTTCCTTTTGATTTAGATAACTTAATATTAATTTCAACATTTTCTTATTTGGTTGCCTTTTTTGCGAGCTTGTCTGCCCTTTCATTGCCCGGAATACCTGAATGACAGGACCCACCTGAATGCAATATTCTTCCCCTACCTAACTGCTGTTGTATAAATAAATAAAATATCATAGAGCAGGCCTTGAAGATTTGTAGCATTGCCTGATTTAATGCTCGTAAGAGCAGATACAACGTCACTACATATTAAAAAACTGTTGGCACCACTTTCTAGGGCTGTCAAAATGGCTGAAAAACTAAATTCGAAGTTTGTACTTAAATATGATCAAAATTCGAATTATATTCGAATTTAAAATGCATGATTTCAGTTAGGGTGAAGAAAAGCTTTTGGCTTCTCTCCTGAGGCCACAAAGTATGTTTTATTATTTTTTTTTTTTCCAAAGCTAAACTTGCATTCATTTTACATGGCTTTCGAAACATGCGGCTCCCCCCTTTTCCAAATACCCACACTTGCGGTCTTGGCCACTTGAGAGTGCGTGCGCGCGACAGGAAGTAAGTGCA